TTACAATATAAAATAAAAGAAATTAGATGTCAATTTTCATAAATGTCTTAACATCTTCTATTTAACAAATTTATCTAGGCTTGGGTCTCATATTTCCTATTTTCACTGAACCGAAAGAAAATGTGCCCCTCAACTTACTGAAATCTGTCATCCACCTGATTTTATTTTATCCTGGCCTCTCCTGTCCCTTCTGGGAAGCTACTTTATCACCCTTGTTTGATTTTTTTGCTTTGAGATAAATAGATTCCAATGTATTCCATTAGGACAACAGGGGGAAAAAAAAGAAAAAAAAAACCTTTATTTATTTCTCCTTCAAGCTCTCCTTACTACAGCCGAAATATCACCCCGTGAAACTGCTCTTTGTCTTCATTCTCTCAGGATATGTCTACAGTTCTGTCCTTACCATTATGGTTTCTACCCTCCTAGTCACTAAATCTACTTTGGTAGATGAGTTTACTGGTAAATAAGCATTATTTATAATGGTGACATGGTAAATTAACATTATTTATAATAGTGACATATCTGTGATAATGATCATGGTATTTATAAATCTGTATAACAACGATCATATATATCAATTTATCCTGGGCCTTAACTTCCAGAAGTCATTCAAAATCATTTTGGCAGAGAAAGGAACAGTCTGGAGCAAAAACATAGGGTGCCACATTCTCTAGCCTATCTCCTCTCACTGCAGGAAACCTCAGGGATACTCAGGAATGGTGTAATGTTCTCCTCTTAATCACATGTGACTCATGGGGATTTCTGATGCTGGCATTTTTTTTCAGGTCATAGCAGTACTTTTCAAAATTGTACACATTAGGTAAGTTTTCTATAGTGTGGTTCCCTTTGACTTACCCATTGCATGTCATTATAGAACCGTGTAATATAGGCGCTGTCAGGGTCTTGGTGGGGTACAGAAAATTACTACTGCAGCAGACAAGGACCACAGGTGGAGAAAGTGGCTCTGTGTGATTATCTTTCCAGAAAACTCTAGAAGCACTACCTTCAACCAGAGTTGTTCCATTTTAAAATATATTCCAAGTATAGTTAGCCCCCCCATAATTTTTGTTTGTAGAAAGATTTCCACAGTCAAATTTAATGAACTGCCCTGGGACTTTGGTGTCTGACACACCTGCAATTTAGTTGTATCTCTTCCACTTAGTAGCTTTGCAACCTCAGACAAATTATTTCCTGAACCTATTTCCTCATCCCTAAGAAAGGGTTTATGGTTTCAAATTTCAAGGCTATGACATAGACCTAAAAATATAAATGATCATTTTTATTTCCAAACTTATATGTACTATTATTATCTTCCTTTTATAAATAAATTCTGGCTTTAAAATATGATGTTAATGCTGAGGATGACTCAGCTCGTCACATATAGAACTGAGCCAAGATCAATTCAATTCCAAAGTCCATACCCTGAATCTAGTTGTGGTACTTGGTATTTGACTTAATACAGTGAGTACTGGGCAATAGTAAATAACACATGGGCTTTATAAAATTTGTTACACAAAAGATTCTTAATTATAGTAAGTATATTCTTTACATTTATGAAGTAGTTTAAATTTTACAGTGTTTTTCTATGTTTATGTTTTTATCTGAGGCTTAAAATACTCTAATGGGGACATGATAGTTACTGACATCCTCATTTTTCAGATAAGCATAAAGAAATTTACATAAATAAAAGGACTTATTGAACATGATTAACAAGTGACAAAGTTATTACAAGTTTTTGCATTTTCCCTACAACATTAATAATATATGAGAAAAATATTTTATATTCTACTTGTAACAGGCAAAGAGCAATATTATAAAATGATTCAAAGCATTCCTATTTCATATCACTTAATAGTATTAACCTAAAAAATTCTATTTCATCTCTTCATTTCCCTTTAGCTTTAAGCAAAACTTTACAGTTCCGCAAAAGAAACAAACACAAAATATAGTGTTCTCTGGATGAGAAAACTAATAATTTAAGAAAAAAATAGTGTAAATATAATACTGATTTTCTACCAGAAGTTGCATATTAATTGATGAAACTGCCCTTTAATGTCTGTAGCTATAAATGCTTCAGCTGACTTATTTTTTAGAGGACCTATCATATTGTAATCTGGTGTGAACTAACGTTACAGTCTAGAAGTTTTGTTTTAAAAATAGTCCTGAGAAGCAGACCACCTACTAGTAGACAAATGTCAAAACACAAGTAGCTAGAGTTGTTTGCATCCTTATAGACTTCTACTCTGAATGTTGTGCTTGGGGTGAGAGTGGTGTGTCTATAATAGGAAAAAAAAGAAAACACTTTGCCTTATGTTTTGAAGACAAAAATTTAATTGCCCATATGCAATATTGAGGGGCTTCTCAAGTGGTACTAGTTGTAAAGAACCTTCCTGCCAATGCAGGAGACACAAGAGACGTGGGTTTGGTCCCTGGGTTGGCAAGATTTCCCTGGAGGAGAGCATAGCAACCCACTCCAGTATTCTTGCCTAGAGAATCCCATGGACAGAGGAGCCTGGTGGGCTACAGTTCAAAGGGTCACAAACAGTCAGACAAAACTGAAGCAACTTAGCACATACATACAATACTGAATATTGCAGGAGAATAGAGAAAATATCTTTTTGCTAATACTATACTTTGTTTTCAAACTATTTATTTTGGCTAATACTGTACTTTTTGAAAAGTGTATGACAGAGATAAAGATGGAGAATATACAATCCCAAATAGCAATGATTAATATAACACTACAAATATTACATTGATTGTTAACTTCAGATCAGTATGCTGTGGTTTCTTATGCCAGCATCTTCCTATGAGACTAATATTTTTATTTAAATTCTCTATAATTAGGTATATAGACCTGTGTGAGTATCTGTTTACTCTCATATACTGCTATAATTTTAGGTTGAAATGCTGCATCAAAGTGTTACAGGGTATTACACCAAGATAGGAAGCACTAAGTGTTATGCTTATGTTGAGAGTTTAGAGTGCTAGAAATTTTAATTAGAGAATTAAGAATAATCAGTCAATGACTAAAAGCTATCTCCCTCCTCCTATAAGTAAGCTGATATGCCAGTGGAAAGTGAAAGTGAAGTCAAAGTGTTAGTCACTCAGTCGTGACAGACTCTTTGTGACCCCATGGACCAAAGTTCCAGGTTCCTCTGCCCATGGAATTCTACAGGCAAGAACACTGGAGTGGGTTGCCACTTCCTTATGCCAGTGGAAAGAATGATTAATTAAATGAGACAGTGCCATTAAATTGCAGGTGTTTCCATTTTAATTCTGGAATTCTAAAAATTAATTTATTTAAACATAAGCACAAACACATCTGGGGTAAATACAGCATAGTAGTTCCAGTTTGAAAGAAACATTTTCATAGCCTAGAGACTTACATCTCCTTTCTCTGGGGAAGAAATTCAATGTTTCTGTACCTTAGTTCTCTTGACTGTAATATGGAAGTACAGATATGGTTGTTTTACAACTTAATTAATGACTAGTTCTTGGAGATTATGGGACTGTTTACTAAGAATATTTGTGTAAGATATTCAGATTTTGCTGTTGAGTTCTGCTACTATTACTTTTCTGTTTGTTTGCATTTTACCTCTTCCTATGCTATGCTACATATTGATGCAAGAAAAAATGGACTTTTCAGTAAACAAATTATATTTATTTATATTTTTCACTTTTATTTGCATTTGATACATTGCATTAAAGTGTTCTAGGCTTCCTTTCTCTGAAATTCATTATCCACAGAAATTCCTATATTCTTTCCAGCTTATTTTCAAAGGTGTTTTACTAGTGGTTACATATTTCCTATTTGTAATGTTCCTGGAACACTAGGTTTTGATAAAGCTTTATGTATTTATATTTTTATTTACAGATGGTTATTTGAGTGAAAAATACATCACATAACTGGGATTATATTTTGTTAGTCTGCCACAAAATTTAAAGTATAAAATAAATAATGAGGACTTAATATAATTAAAACATTAATTTATATTTATTGTTTAGATCCCAGAGTAGTTAAGAAACAACTCATTTTGGTTTCTTTGAAGAGGTTTCTATGCTTTTGGTGACATAAAAAAAATAGAAACATGAACCTGTTCTCTAGGCATGAATTGTTGCTAAAATGTTCACAGGTGAAATTTTGAAATAGAGCTATAGAAATCTAAAGGATAGGCTATATACTCATGTATAGCAAAGGGTATAATGGATAATTTATTAAGATAAGGGAAATTGTTTAATATTAAAATAATATAAAGGATGAATTCCCTAATCTATAGATTTGCAATAGAAAATACTTTTATAATGAATTTTGCTGTGATGTGTTTTACTTATTTTATTCACTGACATTATCATATTGATTCAAAGCAGTATAACTTTAGAATAACCTACAGTAAACTGTTGATTCCTTTATTGTGTGAATATTTAGACTAGTGGGAATAATGTATATCATACCCATATGTACTACAAACAGATGGCTTGGTGGTTAGCAAACATCTCCGCTTTGTTCTGGCATTCCATCACCTTCGAGAGCTATTTGTTGACTCATATATTCAACTACTATAAACATAATGCCTTATTTAGAAAATGTATTGTGACAGAAGAAAAATAAGAGAGCACTAGTTAAACAGGGATTTACTGCTTGCAAGAGCTCTATAGTATAATTCAATGTATAAACACATTGACATATCTATTACATAAGGAAATGTTGGGGAATTGCTTTTATTTTATTTATTATACTATAAATTATATAAACAGATTTAAGTATATGTGTCCTAATGTTTTCAAACAATATATAAATGATGTCACCTACCATAAGATGTTGATCTTATACACCCACACACACACACACACACACATATATATATATGTGACATCTCTTTATCCTTTATCCTATGATGAAAATATCCAAGAGAAGCTACTTAGAGATCATTTTAATGTACATGAGGGAGCTTTGTTACAGTATTTGTATGAAAGATTAAGGGTGTTGTTACTTTAGTTTTTAATATTTTATTATTAAAAGTTTTAGCCACTCTCACATATATAGGGGTGTAAAATGGGACAGAGTTAATTGTGACATTTCTAGGTCTTACATTTGGTAGGAAACCCCCGAACGTAACTGTTTCCGAACGTATCTGTTTGTTCCTTTAAATGCTTCATGATAGCCAGATGGTGAAAGCGAAGCTGTGCCTTGGCATCCTCTAGTCAACAGAAAAATCAGACTTGGTGACAACAGCAGATCAACTTCAACCAAAGGAGGCTCTTCCAGCCTAATGGGGTCTGCACAAATAAGGTTCTATAATTTCCTCTGAACAGTAGATCCATTTCTACTTGTGAACAACAGCAATATGAGGATATTATTCTTCCTACCTAATATATGACACTTCTGTCATTTAATTATCACATCTGCTTTTTAGTCATCAGGGAACAAAGTAATTAATAACAGCTGCTGTAAGCAGCCTATATCTGATCTTTGGTTCAATAAGATTTTGTTTTATTTTAAGTTCTGGAAAAGTAGCAAACAGGGGATCTAATTTCCTGTGCTACCATTTCACCTTAAAAAAGAATTGTAGCCTGACTTGCATATAATACTTCTTGGGTTGTGTTTTTCACAAGGCCTATGAAAAATTGGTGTATCCCAAAAGCTTCACAAGTGTCCAACAGTTTTAATATAAAAAAGGGAGTTAAGCAATGACACATTTATGTGACAGAAGTGAAATGTGTGATTAATTATTAGTATTAAATATTTAGTATTCACATTGCATTTTTCATGCTTTTATCATCCCACTTGTCACAAATATGTTCTTCTTAAAATTAAAAAGAAATTTAAATGCAAATTTCCAGAAAAAGTTTTAACTATTTCATCTTCTTAAACTTCCAGAAAAGTTGTAAAAATATATAGAACTCTCATATGCTTTCTTCTTAGTAGTATAAGAATTTAGATGTTTTGTAAACATATTAAATATAAAAAGATATTATATTAACTTATTAAGGTAAAGCTTAATAGAGAGTTCCAGAAAAACATCTACTTTTGCTTTATTGACTATGCAAAAGCCTTTAACTGTGTAGATCACAACAAACTGTGGAAAATTCTTTAAAAGATGGGAATACCAGACCACCTGACCTGCCGCCTGAGAAATCTGTATGCAGGTCAAGAAGCAATAGTTAGAACCAGACATGGAATAATGGACTTGTTCCAAATTGGAAAAGAAGTACATCAAGACTGTATATTCTCACCCTGCTTATTTAACTTATATGCAGAGGACATCATGTGAAATGCCAGGCTTGATGAAGCACAAACTGGAATCAAGATTGCTGGGAGAAATATCAATAACCTCAGATATGCAGATGACTCCACACTTATGGCAGAAGGTGAAGAAGAACTAAAGAGCCTCTTGATGAAAGTGAAAGAGGAGAGTGAAAAAGTTGGCTTAAAGCTTAACATTCAGAAAACTAAGATCATGGCATCCAGTCCCATCACTTCATGGCAAATAGATAGGAAAACAGTGGAAAGAGTGGCTGACTTCATTTTTAGGGGCTCCAAAACCACTGCAGATGGTCTCTGCAGCCATGAAATTAAAAGACGCTTGGTGCTTGGAAGAAAAGCTATGACCAATCTAGACAGCATATTAAAAAGCAGAGACATTATTTTGCCAACACAGGTCCACCTAGTCAAGGCTATGATTTTACCAGTAGTCATGTATGGATCTGAGAGTTGGCCTATTAAGAAAATTGAAATTAAAAGACGCTTATTCCTTGGAGGGAAAATTGTGACCAACCTAGACAGTATATTAAAAAGCAGAGACATTACTTGTCAACAAAAGTCCATCTAGTCAATGCTATGGTTTTTCCAGCAGTCATGTATGAAGGTGAGAGTTGGACTATAAAGAAAGCTGAGCACAGAAGAATTGATGCTTTTGAACTGTGGTGTTGGAGAAGACTCTTGAGAGTCCCTTGGACTGCAAGGAGATCCAACCAGTCCATCCTAAAGGAGATCAGTCCTCGGATTTCATTGGAAGGAATGATGTTGAATCTGAAGCTCCAAATACTTTGGCCACCTGATGCAAAGAGCTGACTCATTGAAAAGACCCTGATGCTGGGAAGATTAGGGGTGGGAGGAGAAGGGGACAACGGAGGATGAGATGGTTGGATGGCATCATTGACTCAATGGACGTGAGTTTGGGTGAACTCTGGGAGTTGGTGATGGACAGGGAAGGCCTGGCGTGCTGCGGTTCATGGAGTCACAAAGAGTTGGACACGACTAAGTGACTGAACTGAACACCAAAAAATTGATGCTTTTGAACAGTGGTGTTGGAAAAGAGTCTTGAGAGTCCCTTGGACTGCAAGGATATCCAACCAGTCCATCCTAAAGGAAATCAGTCCTGAATATTCATTGGAAGGACTGATGCTGAAGCTGAAACTCCAATACTTTGGCCACCTGATGCAAAGAACTGACTCATTGGAAATGGCCCTGATGCATGGAAAGATTGAAGGCGGGAGGAGAAGGGGATGACAGAGGATGAGATGATGGATGGCATCACCAACACGATGGACATGAGTTTGAGTAGGCTCTGGGAATTGTTGATGAACAGGGAAGTCTAGCATGTTGCAGTCCATGCGGTCACAATAAGTCGGACACAACTGAGTGAGTGAACCGACTGAAAGGTTAACAGAACACTGTGTATTTTTAATGTATTCTTATATAATTTCCATGGGCTTTTCTGGTATGTCAAGATTGCTTTGCATAATTTATCTCTAAAATAGAGATTGACCATTGCCTCCAAACTGAATAATTGAAGTATAAAATTAATTCAAAAAATAGTAACAAGAACAATCTGTGAGTAAGAAGAAAGTAGTAAGTTCTCATAATAAATGTACTGTTGGGTTGTTCTGGAATACGAATTCTGCTGGTGAAGAAAAGTGTAGCAGACACTCTCAGTGCTCAGTCAATATACCATCAGGCCCACCTACTATTTCAGTGTCCCTCAGCCTGATTTCTGGTAATCAACACTTACAGTATGGTCACTGTCACCTTTGGGTTGCTAGCAGATGTTTTGCCTATGAGCTTACCTGGTTAGAATTTGCCAAGATTTAATGTCCATTTGGAGGCAGCGCTTAACTAGTGAATTACTGATGAATAGAAAACTGTTATTATTGCAGCTCCTTTGTTGCAGGATAATTTTGAAGCGTGTATTTTATTCTATTTCCAGGATTTTCTCTAAAAGTTTACACTTCAGTCACTCATTGTAATAGTTGGCTCAATAACTCTCCACTTACCAGTTGCCCTGAATTTATTGTATTTAAATCACTTCCCCTGTCTTCTTAGAGTGTTTCCTCCACCTCCCACATTGAAGATGTACTTAATCCTTCTCTCAGGGTCTGTTTCTTGGGTGAGGAGAAGGGGATCAATTAAGATAATACATACCATAACAATTACTTTAAATCTGTGATGCAGACCTATAGCATATTCTGCTGAGTTAAAACAGCTCACTTTCTAGATTTCCTTGTGTTATGCATATCTCTTTACCAAACAATAGATATTTTAGCGAGAATCCTCTTGATGTCATTGTCATCTGAAATACCAAAAATTTCAAATAAAATTACAAAATATTGAATCCTAATGACTTACAACTATTGACATTTTCTAGTTTAGTAGAAATGAACAGAAGAGATTCTGATGAATAAGAAACTGAAATACAGTTTAAGCTGTTTGTCACCCAACCAGACATCCATTGATGAGTTTACAGTAAATAGAGTGCCTACCCAATCCCTGGTGGCTCAGATGGTAAAGAATCAATTTGCAATGAAAGAGACCCAGGATTGATCCCTGGATTGGGAAGATCCCCTGGAGAAAGGAATGGCAACCCACTTCAGTGTTCTTTCCTGGGAATCCCATGGAGAGAGAAGCCTGGCAGGCTACAGTCCATGAGGTCACAAAGAGTCAGACACGATTGAGTGATTACTACCACTAAACTACCACCAATGGTATGGAACAACTCTACTCATTTTTTCCTCATATGATATACATATTTTTGTGATTTAAAAAACACGATGAAACTTTGTTTTTATAAATTTAGTTAAAATATTTTTTCCACCTGTGAACTTATGCTCATTAAACAGATGTCAAATGCCAAAGCTATTGAAGAAAATAGGGCTAGGGTACCAGTGCAACATTTTCATCCATACTTGTCAAATAATGAAAAAATCAGCTATGACTGTTTAGGAATTTATAAACCTTCAAGTAGGCAGGAGTGCTGGTTATGAATGATAATAGGGATTATGAAAAATATTTGCATGTGTCTTTATTAAGCCCATTTGTCTTTGTTCAGTAGCTAAACTGTTCAACTCTTTGCGACCCCATGGACTGCAGCACGCCAGGCTTCCCTGTCCTTCACTATCTCCCAGAGTTTGCTCAAACTCATGTCCATTGAGTCAGTGATGCCATCCAACCATCTCATCCTCTGTCATCCCCTTCTCCTGCCATCAATCTTTTCCAGGATCAGGCTCTTTTCCAATGAGTCAGCTCTTGACATCAGGTGGCCAAAGTACTGGAGCTTCAGTATCAGTCCTTCCAATGAATATTCAGGTTGATTTCCTTTAGGATTGACTGGTTTGATCTCCTCACTGTCCAAGGGACTCTCAAGAGTTTTGTCTAGCACCACAGTCTGAAAACATCAGTTCTGCATATAGGGTTATCATTACCATCTTTCTAAATTCCATATATATATGTTAGTATGCTGTAATGTTCTTTATCTTTCTGGCTTACTTCACTCTCTATAATGGGCTCCAGTTTCATCCATCTCATTAGAACTGATTCAAATGAATTCTTTTTAATGGCTGAGTAATATTCCATGGTGTATATGTACCACAGCTTCCTTATCCATTCGTCTGCTGATGGGCATCTGGGTTGCTTCCATGTCCTGGCTATTATAAACAGTGCTGCGATGAACATTGGGGTGCACGTGTCTCTTGCAGATCTGGTTTCCTCGGGCCTGGTGCACTGGGAAGACCCAGAGGGATCGGGTAGAGAGGGAGGTGGGGGGGGGGAATTGGGATGGGGAATACATGTAAATCCATGGCTGATTCATACCAATGTATGACAGGACCCACTACAATATTGTAAAGTAATTAGCCTCCAACTGATAAAAATAAATGAAAAAAAAAAAAACCATCAGTTCTTCAGTGCTCAGCCTCCTTTATGGTCTAACTCTGACATCTGTACATGACTACTGGAAAAACCATAGCTTTGACTATACTGATCTTTGTCACCAAAATGATGTCTCTGTTTTTTAATATGTTTCTAGCTTTTACACATAGCTTTCCTTCCAAGGAGCAAGTGTCTTGGACGGAAAGATACCTTTTCTCGGGCTCCATCATCATTGCTGTTTGGAGCCCAGAAAATAAAATCTGTCCCTGTTTCCACTTTTTCCTCTTCTATTTGCCAAGAAGTAATGGGATCAGATTCCATGATGTTAGTTTTTTTGAAAACTGAGTTTTAAGCCAGCTTTTTCAATCTGGAGAAGAGAATGGCAAACTACTCCAGTGTTCTTGCCTTGAGACCCATGAGTGGTATGAAGAGGCAAAAAGATATTAAGCCCATTTATCAAGCCTCTAATTTTTTTTCCCTTCTCAAGGGGATCATTGTTTGGAGAAGCAAATGCATTTCTTGTGACATTTCATCATCAACATCAACCTCAACATTCAGGGTAGAGGGATTTTCTATCCACTTTAACTAAGAAATATGAGATCTTTAAATATATGTTGTCACTCCCTTCATATTCTCAGCACAAATATTTTTTATAGTAAAAACATAGTATTTGGTATAAAAGAAAGTGTGAACTGGTTGTGCACCTCTACCTTATTGATAGTTTATATATTTTTATCATTCAACGTATAAGAATTAGAATCTTATTTTCTATATTAGCAGACAACAATTTTCCCTTCCTTGACTTCTCACAAAAATCCCAAGTGCTTCAGAAATTATTTATAAATAGATAAAGCTTGTGTAAAATAAACAAGAGTCCATATTTCCTAACCATTGTATAATCAAACTGTCAGCAGCCATAATGAACTTAACACCTATCTGATTAGAATATGTCCCTATATTGTCAAAGATGGAAAGGAGGATTTTATAAAGTTTATTTTTCGCATTCTTTAACATTCTATCCTATTTGTAAACAGGACATATTCTTAGTTGGTGATAAATGAGCTACTGGGATTTTTAAAATTCTACTGTCAGACTTTCCTGAATGGCTATTGCTTAATTTATGGTAACCTGCCATTCCTTATCTAACAGCTTTGCACTCACTGTTTCACTTAATGGACTCCATTTAGCTGAAGAAATTTATGTTTCACATTATCATGGGCTTTGTTTCTCTGGTAAAATCAGCATCAAAATATCATAAAAGCAAAGGGGAAGAAGCAAAAATCAAAGGGAAAATGCACTTGCAGTTCTAAAACAGATTACTGGCTTTGTTTTCCATCTCATAATAAATAAAATGGCAAATATTTTCTTAGCTTTGGAGGTAACCTTAGTATACTTTAAATAATGAAAGGGAAATGATTTATGAGGATGCATTTTATTCTATTACATTTGGACATGTATAAATGATGTGCAGAATTTCTATAATGCATCAATTTACCCATTTTATCTAAAGGTACAGTACCTTTCTCCTTTTGGCGGACTGTGTACTTCTGCTGTATAAAAATTGTCTAAAGCCATACTCAGGACAATTCCTCAATTTTCATTAAAATATAAGTGCAACATGAAAAATGTGTATTTAAGTAAAACTTCAGATATTAACATATAGCTATATTTCATATAAATATTTATAAACATGTAGGAAAAATCAAGATTCTAGGCATACGAGATATTTTCCATAAATTATTTATCTACATGCTAATTTCACTTTCATAGCATTCATAATATTTCACATTACTCAGTCTTAGCTTTGTTCTCCAATAAATTGTGTCCAACTCTATGTGACCCCATGGGGGTCACATGGACAGGGGCTCTTTTAAACATTGTCACCTAGTTTTAAGTTTAAATATAATTAGTTGTAGTTTAAATGATTCTTAAGTTCTGTTGGTTAAGGTAACCTGGAGAAACGATCACTTGATTTTCCAATTAAATGAGTTTTAACATCCTTATCCACAGTATTGGTTAGCGGAGTCTTATGTGAGAAAAACACATCTTTGTATGCATGATTCTCATTACTCAAATAAGAATGACAAAGTTATGAATATTTGCTTTACTTTTTCCCCAGAGTTAACAAGCCTGGCATTTTTTCAGAAGAGTTAGCTTTATTTTATTAAATATTTACTCACTTGGTTGCTCTGGGTCTCAGTTGGGGCATGTGGGAACTTTTAGCTGTAGCATGTGGTAGATCTAGTTCCCTGACCAGGGATCAGACTTGACCTTCTACATTGGGAGCACAGCATCTTAGCCACTAGACCACCAGGGAAATCTCCAGAGGGTTAGCTTTAAAAATAGAGTCACGAAACATGAATGCCCAACTTTTAATTTCACTTTTTTATTGTGCGTGTTTTGTTTCACTTTTGTGTATTGCTTTTCTTATGAAATGAATTTTGGGAAATACTAATAATTTTCTGCGAAAAGATGGGCACAATAAAGGACAGAAATGGTATGGACCTAACAGAAGCAAAAGATAAGAGGTGGCAAGAATACATAGAGGAACTATACAAAAAAGATCTTCATAAGCCAGATGACTACAATGGTGTGATCACTCACCTAGAGCCAGATATCTTGGAATGTGAATTCAAGTGGGCCTTAGGAAGCATCATTATGAACAAAGCTAGTGGAAGTGATGGAATTCCAGTTGAGCTATTTCAAACCCTAAAAGATGATGCTGTGAGAGTGCTGCACTCAATATGCCAGCAAATTTGGAAAAGTCAGCAGTGGCCACAGGACTGAAAAAGGTCAGTTTTCATTCCAATCCTAAAGAAAGGCAACGCAAAAGAATGCTCAAACTACCACACAATTGCACTCATTTCACACGCTAGTAAAGTAATGCTCAAAATTCTCCAAGCCAGGCTTCAACAGTACGTGAACCATGAACTTCCAGACGTTCAAGAACCAGAGATCAAATTACCAACACATGTTGGATCATTGAAAAATCAAGAGAATTCCAGAAAAAACATCTACTTCTGCTTTATTGATGATGCCAAAGCCTTTGACTGTGTGGATCACAACAAACTGTGGAAAATTCTTCAAAAGATGGGAATAGCACCTTATCTGCCTCCTGATAAATCTGTATGCAGATCAAGAAGCAACAGTGAGAACTGGGCATAGAACAAAAGACTGATTCCAAATAGGGAAAGGTGTACATCAAGGTTGTATATTGTCACCCTACTTATTTAACTTATATGCAGAGGATATTATGTGATATGCTGAGCTGGATGAAGCACAAGCTTGAATCAAGATTGCTGGGAGAAATATCAATAACCTCAGATACTCAGATGACACCACCCTTATGGCAGAAAGCAAAGAACTAAAGAGCCTCTTGATGAAAGTGAAAGAGGAGAGTGAAAATGCTGGCTTAAGACTAAACAT